GAATCTTTTCTAAAAGTATGAAACTTTGCACAGGATATTTTAAGTGACATAATTGCATACTAAATAGCAATTTTTGCCAATTCATCCCCAAAGAGAGTAGAGTTAAGGGTATGAGGAATGAAGTATGAAAGTTTGTTATACGAAAATTAACTACTATCACTAAAATATTTATGAAATAGAAGTGGAAATTACAGGTAAATTACGTATGTAACTGTAAATAAAAAAGCTTACAGTTGGGGGTTATAACCTTTGGTGTTACACTGCAAAATAAAACACTATATTACCACAATACACCAAAACACTTTTACTTTTACACTGGACGCGCGTTTCGCTAACCATGTTAGCATCATCAGCAGATGATAAAACTAACATCTTACTAGTTAAATCATCTGTTGGTAATGCTAACATGGTTAGCGAAACGCGCGTCCAGTCTAAAAGTAAAAGTGTTTTGGTGTATTGTGGTGATTTAGTGTTTTATTTTGTTTTTTAAAAAAGCTTATCATGAGAATGATGAGTGGGGCCCGGTGGCGTAGAGGTACAGCTCTCGTCTACGAATCCAAAGGTTGGGGGTTCGATGCCTACAGCCGGCAGTTCATCAGCTGACCATTTTTAATAAAATAAAAATAGTATAGGCACCTAGGTCGACTCACAACCTTAAATGAGTACTTGGGAGCAATCCTGAGGTAATAATAGGCGGTTGAAGCGTAGTGCTAGCCAGAACGGCTCTACGAGTAGTATGGCAAGCTGTACATTGTAAATATGGGACAATAGGTACCCCTTAACCAACATTTCAAGAGTATTCAAAAACAGGAAGCATATCAATGTAATAACATTTAATATTGGACCCATTTCCAAAATATAAACCTGTTGGAAGTCAGAGACAATTAATTGAAATTTGATGTGTCCTTAAGACCGAAATCATCAAAGCGAAAAATCAACAGAAACGAATCTAATAACATCCTCGGTGGTCTTAGGCCGGTGACTTTGGGCCTTATCTTGTAGAATATCTCGGAGTATAAGATAGATAGAAAAAAAAACGTATTAAACCTTGATTAATATCTTTCCTGGTGGAAAATTATCGACTGGTTTTTCCTCTCCTCGTCCATTCCGATTGATTTTTATTACACGAAAACCGATTAAAATTAACCGTCTAATTAACGCTTCGGCCGCTCAGATGTCGCTGCCGTTAGCGTATAATCGAGCGGCGTTTGATCCGACGCGCCGTAGTAGAAAAAAAAAAGACTAGCTCTATCTCCGGTTCTATCTTACAGTACAGACGCCGCTTTAGTAAAGCCCGCTTTACACGTCTATATACGCTCGACAGATAGTCATACACTGATTGGACAAAATTTACAATGTAGATTAAGGCGGATTCACACCTTTCGATCTCACCGAAGCGATCTGATTCATAGTTGGTTCATGCTTTGAGTGTTAGTCCTATGGTTTCTGCTGGAGAATTGTCGACAAATTTGTCTTTAGTCGAGACAAGAAGAAACTAATCAAGGCCTCGAGAACTCAAGAAATCCATTCAGTGCTCTCCAGGTAACGAAAGGAAAACATGCATATAACACGTAAAAACCGCATATTATCGATGATGTTGTTAATGTACTTGTGTTTTTGAAATCCTTATTTTATAAGGAAGAAGCTTTGAATTGAAATTCTGATTCTTTGTTCATAATATTGCGGGTTACTTTATTGAGTTACTGATTTTTTAAATGCACTTGTGTAACAGTTTCACACACAGAAACTGGCGTGGAATAACCAATAACCAAAATTTAACGTAGAATAAATTAAAATCACTATCTAATTTAAAACGGCCGCCTATGTTAAAAGTTAAATAAAGCATTTTTTACCTTGTTTTCGAGTATATTATATTTGTAGAAAGCACATACTAAGAAAAATAGAATAGAAAAATAATATACGATGTATCCCATTCAAAAAAAAAAACATAAATACTTGTCATATTTCAAGAATGACAGCTCCAGGCGAAAGATTAGTTACGCCACTGAATTATACAGGGTGATCCGAACTGTATTCCGGAAACTTCGGCAACATATTCTGCAGATAAAAATAAGTAAAAAAGTTCGTGTAAATGTATGTCCTAAAATGCTGAATTTCGGAAATACAGGGTGAAGAAATTTCATTTTTATTTCGTTTTTTTCCAAATAATTTATGAAGTAACGTCAATATTTGGATGAAAATTGGTGTCTGGGAGTTTTTTGGCATGAGAAAATTTTTTTTGGCAATATTCTACACCCTGTATCTCCAAAACTAAGCATGTTAGAACATTTATACGAACTTTTTTATTTATTTTTATCTGCAGAATATGAGCCGAAGTTTCCGGAATACAGTTTGGAGCACCCTCTATATGAAAAACTCTAAGGAACTCAGTTTTCACCTTTTCGATAAGTTATAAATATCATTGAGATATACGAGGGGAGTCGAAAAATGCAACTTAATTTCAAATTCGTTCAATATTTCAGAAACTACGAGGACTATGACAAATCTGTGTATAGCATCTTTAGTTTCATAAAAAAGTAGCAGAGTAATGGAGAAAACTGCATCTTTGAAAACGAGAAACCCTGTAAAACACACGAAAATGGGACACTGCAAAATGAAATTAGTATAATTAAGTGTAACTAAATAGTCATAAAAACATAAATTTTGTTTGAAGAGATCTCTTAAAAATTAGTTCCTGTTACTCTAAAATACAAGGCTGGTATCTATCAAACAGGGTTTGCCAAAAAATTGGCTACAAAGGAGAAAAGTCTTTACAGATTTTTAGCCGACTATTAGTCTAGACTATTAGGATCGGCAAAAAAAAGTTTTTTTAATTTCACTCAAAATGAGATATTTGGGTCATAAATGACCTAAATACAAAATATTTTCGTGGTGTCTGTCTGTCCGTCTGTAACACGATAACTCAAAAACCGCTGAACCGATTTGAACCAAATTTGGCACAAAAGTACTGTGGCACCCGAGAATCTGGCCGTTAGTTTTTGGTGGGGGTGGGGGGTTGGTAAGGGGGTATAGGAGGGGGTTAAAAATTTAAAAAAATCGTAACTCTAAAATTACAGTAGCTAGCGAAACGCGGTTTTCAAATTAAGATTAGGAATAATATTTGCAACAAAATTGGTAATAACATCAAAATCAGTCAAAGTCGCAGTTTTCGAGATATTAACATATTTTATATGGGCGGCTATACGTGCCTCCCGGCGCCAATTTTTTAAAAGAAGTTTGTCTGGAATTACTTCAGCATGCCCAACAATAAAAATAAATGAAAATTGTGTCGCAACAAATGTTATAGGGACAAAATATGTAAAAAGTGGAGTTGAAAAATATTTCCATTTATTGCGAGCTAATCTAAACACCCTGTATAAATTCTTGCGGCTAAAAAAGGCGTCACCCTGTATATGATGAGGTATAGAACGAGAGAAAGTATAATATAATACTACTAGTACTAAGGATAAGAACGAAAGAGAGATTTAAAAAAGAAACAACACGAATGGCTATGAAACCAAAAAAAAAAAAGAAAAAGAACGCGGCCTTTGGCAAACAATAGGCTGAGGCGCCGCCTGTCGGCCGTCTCGGGCATCATCGTTAATATCGGTCCGAATGATTATGTCAGACGTTTTGACAGGTCCCGGTAGTCACGTGACGGATGGGGCGGATAAGGCGGTAGTCGTTTGTTTCCCCGAAGCGAACGGAAAGGAAAAACCGTAAAGCTTCACACTCGCACAGATCGCAGGAATCCGTTGACGATTCATATACCGGGGCGAATCAAAAAATATAAAGGCGGAATTAACAATCGGTTCCAATCATAACTGTACAGGGTGTCCCATTTTGGTTGAAATCATACGGTATCTCCGTTATTAGTGAAGATAGAAGGGTGTGGTTTGCCTGTCCCACTCTGTTTTACAAATCAGGAAAAATTTCGACCCTACCAATCCATTTATTTCAGTAAAAAAAAGTTTCCAATATTTTTTAAGTCAACTATCGATATGTTTATACAGGGTGTCCCAGAAATAAGTGCAAGTACATTAAATTGGTAGTATAGTTCGACCACAAACTAAAAAAAATAAGCAAATGTAAGGTAAACCAGTAAAAATACTTTATTTATTCAAATAGAAATATCAATTATTTTGGTGTTTATTCGCCAAAAACAGGTGTGTAAAATAGAAAACAAAGAAGTTTTTTAAATTTTCTCAAAAAATAATTCAGATTGCATATGAATGTATTTAGTAGTGCTGTCAAGAATCGCAAAATTTTTCAATTTTATACATTTTTTGTAATATGTATTTATAAGTAATAAATTTTCACTAAAATTTTAAATATCTTAATTTCCGGCTTTGCATTCCAATTGTACCAACTTATTTCTAAAATAAAACACACAATACTTTGAAATTAAAATGACAGACACATCGATCATTGTCAAGGATTTTGTCGTCGGACAAACTTTCTATTTACATACATTTGTAGAAAAAATACTGCATTTTGTTTTTTCTTCAAGTATATCTCGTTAAATAGCACAAGTAAATATCTGTAAATATATTATTAAAATAAAAAAGTATATTCGGCTCATATTTATCAAAACCTTCCCAAAAACACGTCGTCCAACGCATTATCAAACCTCGTTCATTAAACCCTTATCAAAAAAAAAACATAGAAATACTAATAACTCTCTCATATCAGGCCCCAAACAAACAGGGACCCGTACGTATTTAAATAATAATAATAAAAATCTATACTCCTACAAACTATATCATACAAACCCTCTACCGGGGGGCGTGCGAATGCATATGCGAATGGGGATGCTGGCCCGGATGACCATAACCTTGATGCGGCGGGGGCAACGGACTGGGACAAGCCTGGCCGTACCCCCCGTGGTGCTGTGGCGAGCCCCCCAACCCCAGGTGGCTCTGCTCCAGGTGGGAGTAGTGCCCCTGGCCCGCGGCCAACGAGTGGGGGTGCGAGTGCGACCCGTAAACCATCTGCCTTACTTTAGAGTCCTCGTCGGAGATGTTGTAGGTGAGCTCGGTCTCCTCGAAGCCGGTGGCCGACATGCGCTGGTCCCCGCTGCCAGCCCCCGCCGGGGGATCGGGGGAATTCAGGCAGGTCTGGATCAGAGCCTTGCCCGCTTCGGAGGTGATCATGGGCTGGAGTTTGCGCGTGGCGAAGGTGTAGACGTGGCCGGTTTCGGAGGCGACCAGGAGCATCACTTGGGTACCAGTGAGGGTGGAGAGTTCGTAGGCCTGGAAGGGAAAAAGGGGGTGTAAAGTTTGAACTTAGTCGTATATATGTTTTTATTCAAACGTCACAAAAGTATTGATTTTTACTGATTGACTATATAAAAAAGTCATTTTGACGCCTAGGCATAAAAGTAAAGTACTTTTACGCCTAAGCACAAAAATAGAAAAATATATCGACGGTTGAAAGAAAATTGAGTTATCGAAATCAGCGAATTTTTCTGCGTCAATCTACTTAGTTTTTTTCCTAATAATCCTATGTTTTGGCGCATTAAACATTTTAAATTTTGAATAAATTATGAGAAACATAATGCCAAGCGACAGAGTTTCAAAATAAAACAGACAAACAGGTCTTCTGTAAAGTTACGAAAGTGGCGTATTAGCAGTTTCTCCTTTCAACCGTCGATATTATTGAACTGACATAAAGTATTAAATTCAACGAGCGTGACCATAGTCACCATAGTTCCTCTACCGGGTGCGTCTCAAAAGCTCACCCCCTATAACTTTTTTATTTTTTCAGATAAAAAAATGATATTTGGTATGTTAGTATACAACATAAATTAGGATTGATTAACGTATTCAATTGTTTTCTGTCACTTCCTGTTTCACCGGAAAAGACTACAACTTTTGATTTTTAAATGGCACCTTCGGTATTTTTTTACTTTATTCGATCGAAAATGACATTCTAAATAGAATGACGTATCATATGTCAACTTTTGACATATTCGCTCAATAACAAATTGTATTTTAAATTTCAATCTAAAGTGCCATGTCTGTGTTAAAAACACTAATGTTTAATTAAGGAGCCTTGGAAAAATAGATTTGATCGTCTAACGTTTTTAGTGTCTTGTCCTGGCCGGTTAAAAGATGTCCAAATCGTATTTTTGATCATATTTCAATTTTTTCAAATGGAACTTGGGTGGCTCATTAGCATATTTCAAAAAAGCATTTTTACGAATAGTTTGATACCACACACTCGGTATTTCGAGTCAAATTGTCGTTATGAACCGCATGTTGTCCGAAATGTCACAACCGCGAAAATATCAAAAGTTGACATGTGATATGTCATTCTATTTTTTTACTTTGTTTGTTAGTTTACCTTTGTCCACAAATTGAAAAATTTTTTGACAATAAAGGCATTTATTTATTTATTTATTTATTTATTCAGAGTGTCATCGAATAAAGTAAACAAATACCGAGGGTGCCATTTAAAAATCAAAAGTTGTAGTCATTTCCTGGAAAACCGGAAGTGACCGAAAACAATTGAATATGTCAATCAATCCTAATTTATGTCATATACTAATATACCAAATCTCGTTGTTTTATCTGAAAAAATAAAAAAGTTATAGGGGGTGAACCATTTTTGAGACGCACCCGATATATACATAACTTTTATAGTAAATGACAGCATCCATTGCTGTATTAATTAATATATTTTTAATATAATAATTTTTTATTTTCAGTAATTTGTCTTCTATTTTTTCATAATTCTTTTGGTTATGATACACTCAGATATACAGAGTGGTCCGAACTGTATTCCGGAAACTTCGGCAGCATATTCTCCAAATAAAAATATGTAAAAAAGTTCGTATAAATGTATGTCATAAAATGCTTAGTTTCGGAGATACAGGGTGTAGAAATTTCATTTTTACTTCGATTTTTTTCCAAATAATTCTGAAGTAACGTCAATATCTGATAGAAGGTAGAAGGCGCCTCCTACATATTTTTTAACTGGTTTGAAGACTAATAACTTTTCGTCCGTACCTGTATAAAACTACTGAGTAAAAAAATATACATTTACGACGTTTTTTTACGTAAAAAAAGGTCTCTTGGTAAAAATCGCTACGAGTAATGATTCTCGAGATATTTGGAACCCAAATTATCAATGCCTGTCATCATTGACATAAATTTCACATGTTGTATTTAGTCAATAGTTATTAGACTGAAATGATAAATTTTAAATGTTTTTTTGCAAAAGTTCAACAGAAACAAAAAAAAAGTTATATCATCACTTTTCCGCAGAAAAATGTATGGTTAATTTAAAAAAATAAAAATTTCCCACAATTATTATTTTTTATTATTATTTCAGTCAAAGAACAATCTACTCAACGTGTTTATTTTTGTCAATAATGACATTTATTGACTATTTCCATTCTAAATATCTTGAGAACGGTTGCTCATAGCGATTTTGATCAAGAGACATTTTTTACGTAAAAAGTCACGGAAATGTATATTTTTCCACTCAGTAGTTTTATACAGGTACGGACGAAAAGTTATTACTCTTCAAAACAGTTAAAACACACGGAGGTGGCGCCCCCTACAAATAGGTGTCATATTGACATAAAAATCAAATATCTCTTATCAAAAAACTCCCAGGCACCAATTTTCATCCAAATATTGACGTTACTGCAAAAATTGCTTGAAAAAAATCGAAATAAAAATGAAATTTCTACACCCTGTATCTCCAAAACTAAGCATTTTAGGACATACATTTATACGGACTTTTTTACTTATATTTATCTGAGACCACCCTGTATAATTACTTACAAGATATTTTAAATATTTTTATATTATTTGGATGTTTGAAATTGTTAAAAAATATTTGTGGGCGTTTGAAACAAAATAGCATGCTCTATTCAGAGTAAAAATGACTTTGTGCCTCGCCTGTAATGTCAAACGTAGAGCATCGCCACAAAAAGTATCATTTTTACTCCTAATAAAACAGTAGATACACTATTTTCTAGAAAAAATACTTCTAGAATTTTGAATCCGCCACTAAGCTACAAACATTATTAACAATCTATGGTATTTCATCCATACCGAATATCGATATAACAAGACATATTTACCATATGAAAAAAAAGCCTAAAGCCTCTCATTGTCAGCACTGAATAGACGAAAAATGTTCAATCCTTCCCCCCTCGCGGAAACAGGGGGGCGATAACAAAAAGTAATAATCATAATAGCAGAAGATAATAGAGCAGAACGAAAGCTACTGTCAGTCAGTGCCGAAAATATTCAATGGGGAGAATAATATGCCGTGACAATGACGTATAATTACGCTTCTAGCGTCAGGTATTTTTTCTTTACTCTATTGAAATGATAGCGATGCGTCACGACGGAAAAAAATTTGACGAGCAGCCTGAAGATGTATATAATTAGCAGTTGAAACGTTCGGCGTTAAGTGGACGTCGCTCTTTGAAGCGATTGAAATTGATCACGTGACCGCTAATCAGGCTCTTCATTTACACTAATAATATCGAGGTGTTTTATAATAGCCATCGCTGGAGGAATTACACTCTTAAAAATACTTAAAGAGCTCATTTTTTTTAATTCGTTTATCCTTTGCATCAATCTGTCTTTATCTAGTCTGGCAACATGTCCAGCTCATTGCTATTTCATCTTAGCCACTTCTTGGATTATACCAGTAACTCTCGTTTGTCTCTGGATATTTTCATTCCGAATTCTGTAGCTTAGTAAGACCCCAACATTCAAATTAGCTGATAATTTGTGAGATACATAGGCCAACTTTCGGAGATGTTTTTAAATACGGACTTGCATTTTTTATTTCAGGTTTTGAAAGAATTCGGTCTCCTGAGTACAATGATATGCCACACTTAATGTTTTTTTTGTTTCGGGCATTTAAACACAATTTATTTAAACTAATTTCAAGTTCGGCCCTTTTTTTAAATATTTAATATATTCATTGTTACAATATTGATGAGTTTTAAAACTTAACAATGACGTGAGATAAAACATCGAATATGGAAAATCAAATACAATAAAATAATAAAAAATAATATAATATAAACAATCAAATTATTTTCGCCGGAAGATGGATTGGAAATGGTGGAGCATATAATGGCCAGCGAGGTTCCTGGACCTGCCGCCAAGGAGCAGGGCCATTACTTGACGTCATTTGTAAAAGTGAAATCAATATACCCCAACATTTACAATAAAGAGTACAAAATGCATTCGGAAGTATAAGAAGAAAATCAACAACAAAAAAAATATTTCAACAGAAAGGGCTATACATAAATTTGAACAAAAAATAAATGTGTGCAATAGATGGTAACCTTTTCAAACATGTAGAGCATTAGAAACTTGTTTAAAATTGTTTGTAGAAGTTGATATAATAACTACGATTAATATTAGAAATATTATTAGATCGTACATTGATCTCATTGAATTAGCTCTTTGAGTTGTTATAAGAGTTTATTTGCAAATGATTTTGTTAGACTGGTCGTTTCCAGTCTATATGTTTACACAGGCAAAAATCCATAAACTCTCCGGTAAAATTATTAGATATATTGGCAAATATAGCCAGTTATAGTATATCCCTCGGTGTATCCTCTTGATCACAAAAAATTAAGATTCTTCAGGAGGATCAAAAGTGTATTACTATTTTCAAATGTTAAAAAGGCACAAAATGTATTTAGTTCACTGCTACAGAAAGGGTGATACTACTTATCGGAAAGGATGATATTTTAACAACAGCAAAACATATGACGTTAATCAAAATTAATAATAAGCACCTATCATACACCTATCAAAGAATAAAAACAAAACGATATCACCATAAAAACGCGTTTTGATTTTTAGGACTAAAATTCAACCATATTCTAATTTTTTTCTCTAAAATGGTATAAAAATTTAGAAAAATTCTAACGGGAGTAACCATTTTAGAGTAACCAAATGTTTATAAAGAATGCACTTTTGTCAAGATGTATATTCTGTTTTTTCTCAGGTAAGATTTCGACAGACGATGACAGTAAAAAAGCAGATCACTTCCATACCAATCAATTTATTTCACTAAAATATTTTTTTAGTTAACTATGGATGGGTTTATAAATAAATACGTCATGCATCGTCTCTTGTTGTTTTTAACCAGTTTTATTGGTTTATTTTAAAAATGACAGATCATACTTCAATATTATGGGTTTGATGGAACGATAAACGACAAACGGACGCCGATGCGTAGGTATGAACTCGACTTAAGTATTTTG